TTCTGTATGTGCACACAACTTGTTTGCAATTGACGACCTAGATATGTGCAGAGTTAGATCTCCGTTCAGCGAAAATATTTATATTCGCGATTTTGTGTATTAGCGTTGATGACGATGTTTCTAAAATATTGTGTGTTCTAAAAATGTATCTCAGTATGTTCAAATGTATTTTAGAGCCCATATTACAAGCTACATTAAACTTGTGTCTAATAGTACATGATTATTTTTTTTTCTATAATTACGTTTAAGAAAATGAAATAAAGGAAGTCTCCTCACTTAGGAAAAAAGTATTGTATATTTTATGCTGTTCTAGTTAAGCACAGCATAAAATATACAATACTAAAGTCAAGAGCATTTTATAAACAGAAATTACTTAAAAATCCCTGACTCTTGCACTAGTAAATACCTACTGTGTTGCAGGAGTCCTCCCTTTTAATTTCAACGATCATTATTTAGTTAATTTAAACAAAAAAAAAGAAATATACCTTAATTTAACTATAATTAATATGAACAAATATTGGATGACTTGTTATTAGAGCATTAGTCTTGTTATAGTACAGATAGGTAGGTAGTATCATTTGCAACCTCATAATATCCGTAAACTCTTGATCGTCAATGTAAAACTTAACATAAATGCTCACGCGGCTTGTCAATGAATCGCACATTTTAATATATATTTATCTATATATTAGTGTAGGTGAAATTAGACCGCCGACAGATTAACATACTTTAACGGACAGCGTCCACCAATCTAAGTGTGACCGCGATACTGTTTCCGAAAGCAAATCAATCGCCCAGCGATTTCTTGTCCTTGACCAACTTCAGAGACAAAAAACGTGTAGTGACACAAGACGTACTCACATATATCCTTTCTTTTTATAAGAAAATCGTGTCTTGGCACCAATTATCGTTTTCTCTTATAATTTGATCGGCCTACGTTGTAACGCCTTTACTAATCAAGGTTGACTCTTAGTCGTACTTTCGATAATATCTGTCTGATTGTTTGTCGTGGTTCTTGTTGAAACTTTGCGTAAATGTTTAAAGTGTCTAAACATAAGTTGTGTGATAAAATATCACATATGCATATTTATAAACATTAAAAATCGCCTTGTGGTGAAATTTCTACTTACTTTATTTTATTTGGCAATAAAATTTGTACTATTATTGAAAATCTGCATCATGATAGGTTAACAAACACACGGGTCCAGTAGAACACATGCAGCAAAATGACTTCTTGAGTCTCTTTTTACAAATATATTCATATAAGTTGCAACACAGGGTGGACAAATATTAAAAAAAAAAACAGAATAAAAGATAACAGTAAAGACAATTGTTGTATTTTTGTGTGTGCTGGAACTAAACATATTATATTAATTATAAAGTCCCACATGCATAAAAACTTAGAGAAATTCCAACGAGCGACTTGATTCAATAGCATTTCAAGAAATAAAAATTTACACTATTAGGCATGTGGTTCACTGTGTCAGGGTGCTTGGATTTACTCGCAATAGTCGAGCGACATTTGACAATAATTTGAATCATTAGTTAATATGTTGCACAAATTTAAAGATGCGACCATTAATACAGCGATAGAGTAACTAAATTATTCTGAGTTAATGTTGCATTATTGTAAAATTCCTTCCGTCTGATGTAACTGATGTTTTTGTTTACAAATAAGGTAAAGCATAGAGAATTTAGTAGGAAAATACAAAAGGTGTGGTGGTAAACCTATTACGTAGTTACCGCTTATGTGTTACTATTATGCAGGGCTCCGCAAAGTCTGCAACACATTACACCAGAGAGTTGTGACGTAGGTAGTATTGTTTACTTTGTATTATAAGGTATTCAATGTATTCTATGACGGTCTATAAATATTTTGATTCGAATATTCACACATTTGTAACACATTGTACGGTTAGTATACCGGAACAATAACAAAATAATCTGCGCGGTAGTGCCCCTGTAGTCAATCAAACAAAAACTTTAAGTTAGGAACTTAGAAAGAAACTTACTTAGTTTTTTTTTGTTTTTCATTAAATAGGGATAAGTTCACTAAGGAATCGCATGTTTTAGAAACATTCATAAAATTCATTCATATTTCATTACGGTTAAAGTGTGGTAATATTATACTAAATTGAAATGATGGAACACAATATCACAAAGTCCAAGTCCAAGTTCCAATATCAGTTGCAATATTTATATATATTACTATAGTAGTAGATCTTGCCCGCGGCTCCGCCCGTGTGTATGTGGGTCAGTTATCGCGGTAAAAAGTAACCTATGAATGAATGAATGAATGAATATCATTACTCAAATTCAAAATAGAGAGACAGAGATTTGTGTTTTTTTCAAACGGTTGTTATTAATTGATGCAAACGGCAGGTCAGAAATAAATTCAGAGCTGATAGAAGATCAATTTTCGACACGGATTGAAGTTAGTGACGGATCCAGTACCTCCAAACTGCAGGACACTGTGATTTTTTACTGGTGCAATAAATAAACTACTATTATTTTTACTTTGTAAACGATGTATTAGCCGTAGATGTAGAGTGATCAAAGCATTGAATAAATAGCTTTCGGTACAATATGATTATTTTACAATAATAATATTATATAAATTATTCATTACTAGCTTATCAAAGAGAATACCTAGTTGTTATTCAATTTTTTAACAATTAATTGATAGAATAGGATGAGTTTATACTTTTTTTACACTTGTGCAGTGGTAAACCTATTACGTCTGTCCTATCACCTCCTATCACCTCCTCGTACCATCCTATTTTACATTTCTAGTTAGTAATGTTCGAACTGGCAATCTCTTAAATATAATACGTCCGGTGCCTCAGTCAATGTGCTGCAAGCGCTTTCAATATGATGCTTATAATGTAATTTACTTTAACCCGTAACAAGAATTTATACGCCAATACAATCAAACAACTCATTCATTATTTTGCAAATATATACATTGTCAAGGATAAGTTGAAACTATTCTTGAGGGATAGACACATAAGTTCTATGTAATCAAAACCATGTACATATAAGCTGGTCATGTAAGAATCAAAATTCTTTTGAACAGTTGGACCGAAGAAAACTAAAACTAAAGACGGGACAAGTTTAAAAAGTTGTTACAGTCTAAAAAGTACTTCTACCATACTACACGCCATATTAAAATAAAACTTTTAACGTGAAGCAGTATTTTAGAGGCAGAATATAATTTTAAGTTTAAGCTTTTAAAGCTTGTGACTGTTAACTTGTCTGTCAATTTTATGACAATGTGGTCCAGAGGTACAGGACTTTGATCAGTCCTCGTTGGCTCTCTAATTCACGGATTATAATGCTTTCGTGTATACAACTATCTTAATTTAGCTTATAAATGTAAAAGATGTTTGGTTTCTGTTTGTTGCTGTAAATGTTTGTTTTCGTTTATTGGCTTGTTTGTTTATTACTTTTTCACACCATAACAGTCCAAGTGATCATTATGAAAAGCTTCATGCAGATCAACTTATCAATTTACAAAGCAAAGAACTTAGGTAGAGCAGCGGAGAAAACGACGTGATGTATGCACCTTGAAATGTATCCATACTCTATGGCGTTTACGAGCACAAAAAAATAATCGGAACAGTCAACTGATTCGAAAAAACTACTGTACATGTAGGTATACATAATTCCATCCAGAAAAACCTACTGATTCCAAAAATAGTTAAGTTAATTGAACCAACCTACTATAACTTGAGCCAAGTAGACTATTTTACCATAAAACCGCTCATTACAAGATAATTTACAAATACTACGCATTTGCATAATGTTTAGATAAAGCTTGCACATAACCTTACGATCAACCGTAAGTTACTAAGTGTAATTCATGGCCGGTTATTTACGTATTCTATATTGAAATTATCATCATTGAAACGTAGTTCGAAAACGTGCATATAGATGGTAATAGATTTGCTCCCTACTATGTCAATTCAGAATGAAGTGTGCGCATTTTGGCTGCAAGATACCATTGAATCAGCCTCTATCCACGGTTGACACATTGATACAAAATTGACCGATCGACACAACATTGATACAACCTGATGTACATATCACACAGTCTAACGTAACCTATCTCCTGAACTACCTTTTCCGATATTCGAGTCTAAGTATAAAAATCTAATTGTTCAATAAAAGTTAAATACTTATTTTGTGTTTTGAGTAAGGCAGACAGTTGACTCGGCCTTTATCACTATTCATCTACTTTATCTATTCATTTGATACAACTTGTATAACATCTTTTTCAGGTGCACCTGCTTTATAAAATTAAAAAAATAGCTATTTGAAATTGAACCTTAAAATAATGTTCACTTTGTTTATTTAATTTCAATACATCAATATACGTACAGGGCAATTGTTGTTATATATTTTAAATAAAAAAATTAAGACAAAATACCATTAACTATTTTTTTATTAAACCAAATTAGCGAAGAACCTTAACCAAATTTTTCATATTAAGCTAGAACAAACAGATTACTGATGCTAATGATTAAATATATAAAGATTTAGCATTTACTATAAATTAAACTACCTAATTAAATTTTTATTACATTTTGAATTGAGGTTTACAAAGCGTGATAGTATATAATATACTGTAAAAAGACTATATGCTGCACTATTTGCAGTAATTGTACATAATTGTATTTATCAATGCGCTCTCACAATTAAATAAAAAGGGTACGTAACTGTTTTTTTTATTTATAGCTACGCTGAATTTTAATACACCAAAATTTTGTTTGGTCATTCCAGCTTAAATAGAAAAATATATATGGCAAACTAGTACGGGCACAACAACGCCCCATCTTCTTGAAAAAAAATAAACACACACATAGAGAAGTCGCACACAGCGAAAGCGTTTGCAACATTCGTATATACGAAACTACTTGCTTGAGGTATAAAACCTGGTAACTGGCGAGTTTGGAATACACTCACGGCGTTACATTCGCTGCACAACAAGCGAAGCGAAAATGAAGCTACTGGTTAGTAGAAAAATCTAGTGTCAGTGTTCTGTGTGTGTGTGTGTGTGCAATCGGATGTCAAGTGTCAATGTGATATTTTAAAAAGTGGAATCTTTTTTTTTTCTAAAGTTATTGTACCGTATTAGGCGTATCATATTACCGGACGTATTCCATATATTATATTATAGAGGAAAGATTTCTTTATAGTTTTAATAGTGAATAAAGTAACTGGATCAATATTACGTAAAAAACATTTCCTGATTCACATAACTAGTTGTTATGACTTGTGCCACAATGCTCGGCAAGTTCTTGTGTTCACTTCCAGTAAGATTTCACTAGTATTTAAAGTTAATTTCCTATTTTCATTTAGCGTTTCCTAAACAATTTTAATTCTTTCTGTGGAGAATAATATGATTATATTATGATGAACTCTCAATATCAATTTTATGGTTATATTTTACATCTTGCGACTGCTGAAGATAGAAGAATAAATTTATAAATTCTTTTTATTTGCAGAGAACTTCCCTAATCTTGGCCGTGGCGATAAGCCTGGCCACGGCAGAGGAAAAGGCGGAGAAGGACGCAAAGGCTGAACCAAAACCAGTAGAAGAAACTAAAAAACAAGACAAAAGAGGACTTTCAGAATACTACGGAGACTTCGGCGATCATGAGCTCGGTGGTGGTTTCGGTGGCCATTTAGGCGGTGACCATTCCGGTGGTGACTTAGGTGGCCATTCGGGTGGTGACTTCGGCGGCCAATCAGGTGGCAGCTTTGGTGGACATTTAGGTGGTGACTTCGGCGGTGATTTTGGAGGCTCTTCGGGACATAATCACGGTCACCATGAGGAACATCATGTAAAAACTGTCACTGTGGTGAAGAAAGTGCCTTTACCGTACCCTGTTGAAAAACGTATTCCATTTCCAGTAGAAAAACGCGTGCCTTACCCTGTCAAGGTGCATGTACCCCACCCGTACCCCGTTTACAAAACTGTTCACTTCCCAGTTAAGGAAATTATCAAAGTTCCCGAATACATCAAGAAACCGTATCCCGTGACAAAACATGTACCTGTTCCCGTAAAGGTTCACGTTGACAACCCTGTTCCAGTCAATGTATACGAGCATGTCCCGTACCCAGTCGAAAAGCATATTCCAGTTCCAGTGAAGGTGCACGTTCCTCAACCCTACCCAGTGGAGAAGAAAGTTCCATTCCCCGTAAAGGTACCTGTCAAGGTGCACGTTCCGTATCCCGTAGAGAAGATCATTCACTACCCAGTAAAGGTCCCAGTCGACAACCCAGTCGCTGTACACGTCGATAAGCCCGTCCCAGTTCACGTTGAGAAGCCTGTTCCATACCCCGTCGAAAAGCCAGTGCCCTACCCAGTAAAGGTTCATGTCGATAATCCAGTCCCCGTACACGTCGAGAAGCCCGTCCCTTATCCTGTAAAGGTCCATGTTCCAGCACCGTACCCTGTAGAGAAAGTTATTCCCTATCCAGTAGAAAAGAAAGTACCTATTCCAGTGCATATTCCTGTAGACAATCCAGTCGCTGTACAAATTGAGAAGCATGTGGCTTATCCTGTGGAGAAACGCGTGCCATACGCCGTGAAGGTGCCAGTACCAATTGTCCAACATGAAGAAGAACACCATGAACTGCATCAGGAACATGGTGAGAGTTTCGGAGAACACGGAGGCTTCGAGGGAGGTCACAATGAACATCATCACCATGAATAGAACTGATCTCTTTAATTTCCCTTTAGCTTTAAAATGTTATCTTGTTTAGTAATTGTTTGTTTTTTTTGTAAAAATTTTTACGTGACTGCTAATGTACCTGTGACGAATGTAAATAGAAGATAAGAGTATTAAAAACGTGATATAAGTATTTATTATATGTTTTATTACTTATTTACAACTCATCGAACCAAGGGAAGTAATAATGTAAAGCTTTATACTGTGTTGGTTCATTAGGCAATTTTAACTGGTAACTAGTACGAAGAAAACAGTAATATTGTTGAATATGGCAAAATGATACAAAAATTAAATTTATTTCAGATACGATATTTTTTTTAACTAAGTAATGTAAATCATAAGTAGTAACTTGTTTATTTAACATGTTGTGTAACTTGTTTCTTTTTACACTCAGTAATGTTACATGCCTAATAAAATAAAATTATAAAGTTAAAAATATTGCAAAAATAGTTCCTATGACCGTTATCAAAACGACACCAGTTAACTATGTTTATTCATTCTATTCATTCATTCATTCATTCATTCATTCAAATCTGTACTTAAGTGTCTTTAATTGATTTACTTTGATTTGTCATTATTACTCTATTTTCCACTTATTATTTTATCAAATTTTTGAGTTTTAATTTATAATTAAATTAAAAGGGGACAGATATGGTATGTAAATTTTTCGATTTACAGAAACAGTATAGGTGTGAAAATTACATATTAGGGTTTTCCAAATTTTGAGTGAATGCCGAAATTATCAATTTGTATAGGTATGTAGTATATTCTGTAAGACCATTTATGATTCAATTGGAGAATCTAATCCAGTACTTTAATACGACAGAACTACAATATGTTATTCTAATCTAATAGTTTTGTACAACCACAGGGAGTACTACTAAAAATTTTGTGGGAAAGATAGACTTCTTTACGGTATACGCTATATATACACTGTACATATGTACGTGTAATTACAACACAAATTATTCTGTTAAATCTGTTAAACAAGTATTACAAATTTCTCGTTCGCAACGCTTATTACCTAGTCATACACTCATAAACAATTAAAACTTTTACATATTATAGCACAAGAATTATCCAAGAATATACAAGCTTCCACGTCTTACTTTCACGTCTCAGCCTACATATTCAAACCAATCTCATAAATCATGATATGCAAATAAATAAAACTTAAGTGACTGTTTGTTATGTATCAATAAAAGTTTTTAACAAATACATATAATTAATTTTTTACACGGTGCATTTATTAAATAAAAATATAGAGTCAAATTGAGTAGCTCCTCTGTTTAAGAGTCGGTTAAAATAATATAAATTGTTTTGTGTCAGCCCATTTGTTTCTAAATAATCTCTAAAAATTATAGAACTAACTTTACCAGTACTTTCACTAGTACACTAGCACGTAGTTGGCATTATACTAAGCAACTTTAATAATAAAAAAGAAACGTTCATTAACATTAAAGGCAGAAGCTATTTGAATTATTCTCTCATCACTAGAAAGCTTCTTGATTCAGAAGTTACTTTAAATTTTTTATCCGAGTAGTATGTTTAGGCAAAGGCGGAAAAAGCCAAAGTCGCAGCTAGTATATTTCAATATCGATGTGGAAAGTTATAAAATGTAAATCAGTTTTCAAAATCTAAATATTGTGTGGCTTATTAAACATTGGGTTTGATGTCCATATTGCAACATGAATATTCAAAACTGACTCACTTAGATAACAGGTTTTCATCTAATGGTTGAACAATCCATAGGAAATTCTAGAAGATCAAGAAGCTTTTTTGCCAACTTTTAAAATAAATACGTAAAAGACCTTGAAGTTAGACATAAAATTTGTTAATATATATTCTAGAATGAGGATTAAAGTCGTCAGATAATTTATTTAACCTTAGAGGGCTCAGACTGCCGGGCATCAGTCAGTTCAAGTTACAAATCACTTTTTCTCCAATTAATTTCCATTTTTCTATCACATCTAAAAATTTCTTTTTATACATATATAAACACTTCTTTTATAATGTATATAATGTATAAATCTTAGTCAATTTTTTATACCTTTACTTAGTCACACTTTTAACCGAAACCATAATATATTCAACGCTACACCGAGTGATAATTTCCTATCTATAATCTTGCGATGTTAAGGAAACCGCGTTACGTGATGTTACGTAATACCCGCCTCATCAGGTTACACTTCATTCCAGCTGACTTCCGAGGATCAATTATAGGGCTCATATTAAGAATATAAACGCACACATTATAAAGATATTTACTAACACTAACAAAATCTTAGTATAGAATGCGGAACAAAAGACTCCAACGCGTGCGATCTTTAACGAATATCAGAAAATGTGTTTTTTTTATGATTGTGGTAATTTAGAGCTACTTAGAGCATTGTTTTATTCTTGAATATGTTTATTTACATTGGTCTTGGTGTTTCTATATATTATGTGTACACTTTTACGACAGAAAAGCTGTATGATCTATATTATCTATGTCTATTCGTATTTTTACCAAACGCATAGTGCAGTGCAAAGCTTCTGCATAATTTAAATTTAGGCAGTGTTAGTTACTATATCTCTGAAAATAAATTTGGATGAACTTTACCGCGTATAGATTGCAACCTTGATAAATAAGCAAAATACATATTATATACATATACGGGCCTCACCGCGCTCGAAAACTAGTTAAGAATATAATAAAGGTGAATGACTTATGTGAAAGATTTCACCGTTGTATACAAAATTCATCACAATTTATGTAACTTAATATAAAATGTGCTCAATTTATTTATAATTCGTTAAGCATCTAAACTACCACTTTATTTTAATACATTTACCCTTTGCTTCAATACATTGCTTACTGTACTGTAGTTATGTAGACACACATATATAGGAGATAGAGAGAGAGACAGAGAGAAAGGAAGAGAGAGAGAGACAAAAAAGTAGAAAAAGGAGTAGGAGTGAGAATTATTTATGCAAGTAGCACGAAGTTTGATTTACATCTGTTTAATTTTTATTTAAGGAGTGTATAATTGTCTATTAAACACACACTTAATTTATTTCATTGAACTTGCATTTTGGATTCATTGATCGATTGTATATTAGCAATGTCATAGAACGTATTTGTTCACCGCTTAAAACGGTTCAGAATTGCATTCACTCAAAAGAGGCAAGTAGTACCAATTTACTTCAGTACTATTACCGTATTTGTGGTACCTTCCTATAGTTAAATAAAAAAGTGTGTTTGAACTACACTACTCATTATAGTAAGTTGTATTAAATCAACAATAATTAAATTTAACCTACCATACAGGTTTAACTGTATACATCTATGTTATATACATACAATTATACTATATGAAAACTGTGATCACTTTTAATGACCTATCATATTTCATAATAATTGTATTAACTATAGCTAACATTGAATTCAGATTACTTAATTTTCTTGCCAAAAAAATATCAGTCGTGAAATGATCTTTAACACTTTATTTGCCTCTGATGCAGATCTCGCAAAATAATTCACTGCAATATGATGCAGATATTAAAATAAAAATATTTCTGTCTCGGACTCAAAATACCGACAATTTTATACTTTAAGACGGTTCCACTACTACAGTTAATATTAACAAACCAACAGATCTGCATTTATTTAGAAAGCGTGGTAACGAAATGAATGCTACTTATTTATATTCCACAGTTAAAAAAATAATATAATAGTTTCAATTTAACACACAAAACGTTAATTAAGATACGCACACATAATAATATAGCTCAAGAGTTTGTTTATGGATTGAACGCGCAACTCTAGGACAAATCGCTCGTCCAATAGAACAACGACGTAATTACAAAAAAAGACAAAACTTCATGTTTCTAAAGTTCAATCTATGACAAAAAGGACAGAATATCATTATCCTTACGGTATTTTTTGATTAAGTTAATGACTGTCTTTAGGGAATTGACTCCAAATACATATTATATTTTCAATTTCTAACTTTTAAAACATTTCCTGAAAAATAACTAAGACTTAATCATGTCATTGTTCTTTTGTATGTGCAAAATAGTTGAATTGCACTAGATTTTTAGATTTTTCAACGTCACGCTACGTCCCATAGAAGTAAAATAGTGGCCACAAAACGGTCACATCCACAAAATTTAATTGGAAATCTAGTGTTGTTGCTAGTTTTTTTTTATGGAAGAGGGGCCAGACGAGCAGACTGGTCACCTGATAGAAAGTGATGAACGCCTGCACCTCGGGGGTCACAAACGCGCTGCCGGCCTTTTAAGAGGGAGTACGCTCTTTTCTTGAAGGTATGATGGTCGTATCGGTCCGGCAATACATAACTTTCTACAGATTGGTAGTGCGAGGCATAAAGTGTCTTGCAAAGCTCAAAGTGGTGGATAGTCAATTATCCAAGTGATGGGAATAAAACCAAATCGAAGGCGTTTGTCCTATTACTTTTAATAGAACTTATTGTTTGTTGCTTTTTAGGTTTAGTAGTTGACGACGACTATGGTGAAGTGGATTGGGTCCTTTAACTACTAGTTTATCATATGTCAGATAGGCAGTATTTCAGTTTGTCTTCTTCTGTTGTAGCTGTGGTAGCAAAGCCTATCTCCTTTCTAAAACTTTCTTAGAATACTCTTCCGATATATAGATTCCCTTTTAACTTTTTTTATTCTTTATAATTTGTTTTTTTCCACCCTTTTGTAAATGAGAATAGCACAGATCTATGTTTGTTCTCTAGTTTATGTTTTCCTAGTAGTCCTTTCACTTCGTTTTCTGCCACCGCTAAATTTAAATCCATTTTAAAAATGTCCTTAACGGTTTGAAATAACTCTAATATCATTTTTTCATTCTCTTCTAATGCATGAATAACTATGTTGTTACTTTTCTTCTTTTTTTAAATTCTCAATGTCGTTCCCCAAAATACATTTTTTTTATTTCCTTCGATCAAAGGAGTTTGTTTTTCATCCATCACCGTTCG